TTTTTTGACGCGGCCTGAGCGCAACATTGTTCCAGTCCACTTTGCAATAGGTTTTTTATCTTGAATGTGGTGCACCAGGTTCGCCTGTGTGCGTAGGGTTTTCCTACTTCCATGGGAATCCTATTCATTCCGCCACCGACCCGGACACCCTCCCGGCGTTAGAATCCTATACAACCTAGCGGGTGCATTTGGCTGAAAGGACGGCCAACAAGTTTTTTTCATTAACACGTTCAGTAAATGGGCATGGGCTGGACCAGAAAAAAGTTACCGCATCGTTTCTTTTTTTCTTTTTTTTTTAAGGTTGTCTAAGGGGCCTTCTTTGAGAAAAATTGGTTCATAGGAAATATTGTTAGGCATCGCGTCGCAAATATCCGATCGGACTCATTACTTCTCGGAGATAAGATTGGAAGTCCTGGAAAGTTTCCGGAAAAATTTCAACCCTACTTGCAGAGGAAGTCGGTGACAAAGAGTCCATCGCCGACGGCCCGGTCGAGAAGCAGCATATCAGCATTCGGGAGATCGCCGCGCAGTGCACCGTCTTCTTCCTGGCTGGCTACGAGACCACGTCGTCCACCCTGACGTTCACCCTGTACCTGCTGGCCAAGCACCCGGAGGTGCAGGACAAGGTGGTCGAGGAGATGAGGGAGGCGCTCGACAAGCACGGCGGCGAGATTGAGTACGACACCCTGCTCAACCTGCCGTACACCGACATGGTGCTGAACGGTAAGCACAACTTGGCATTGTCATTATATTCTTTCATGGCGTTCCCAGGGGTTTTCATTTTCCAGAAAAACGTATCGCTTGGGGAATTATTACTTAAGAATTTTTGGTAGAAAGATCTGAATTTTCTCCTTATTAGTTTTAATTTTTCCCATTTTTCTGGGAATATTTCACTTTTTTCCCTTTTTCTTCTGGACCAGTTTCACATGGAAAATTTCAGATCAATAATATTTAAAATCCCTTCCCTACACGGTGTCCTCTGTTTTGCAGAGACGATGCGGCTGTACCCCTCCGTGCCCTTCCTCAACCGCGAGGCGATGCGGGAGCGCAAGCTGCCCCTCACCGACCTCGTCCTCGACAAGGGCACCCGCATCATGATCCCCATACGCGCGCTGCACATGGACCCCAAGTAAGAAAAAGTGTCGGGTAACCCAAGGGGTGACTTCACTCACAAAGAAAAGATAATCAGCGGACACCTTCCATAAAGAATCAGAAAAAGCAAAACCTCAGAAAAGATTTTAAAAAATCAAGACATGAACAGAAAAATTAGTGTTCGCTCGAATTAACATGTTCCTAGCGGCTCAGCTTTTTTCTTTTTTTTTTTGTGCCTGTGCTTTAACATGGGAGCGTGACCATATAGTGGCCACGCCGCAAGGAACGTGTGAATGGTGAAGTACCCCTCGGGGTGGCCCCCTCGACCCCAATCGTTTGTCGCCGACGTCATATGACCCGACCCTACTCACACCCTTCGCGTCCTGCTAATGCGCAGGTACTGGGACGACCCCGAGGAGTTCAAACCCGAGCGCTTCACGAAGGACAAGATGGAGGCCAGGCATCCCATGGTGTACCTGCCGTTCGGCGACGGCCCGCGCATCTGCATAGGTAAGGTCAGCCCGGTGACCCGCCTCCCTCACTCTAAACGCAGTGATCGCGTAGCTTGCCAAAAATTTTCGCACTACCTTCTTGATTGCCAAATTTTACCAAATTTTGACAGTTATTTTGCCAAAACTTTGATATCATGGCCAACTTTTGACCACTTCAAAGGCTAAGTTTTAACAACAAAAAAAAGAAACAATGTGGCAGTCTCCAATAGACCACCAGAATTTGGCAATGAAAAAGGGAGTGCCAACATTTTTGGAGTGTTGTGGTCCATGAATTCAGTTAGTTGCGGAAGTGTTCACATGATCGTGTGGCTGTGTCGGCAGGCATGCGCATGGGGCTGATCCAGATGAAGATGACCCTGATGACGATCCTGACCCGGGCGGAGGTCCGGCTGCCGGCCGACGCGCCCAGCACCATCAAGCTGTCCCCGCTCACCGTCGGGCCCACGCCCATCGACCCCCTCAAGCTCGTTTTCACCGAGCGGGCCTAAAGAGGCAGGGGGAGGTGGATTAACTGTGCCACTCGTCTTCTTTATCTTTCCGTATCGCCGAACACTCGTGTGGGCGGATGGATCCGTTGTGACGTTGGCCTCTCTGGCAGGCATAAGGCGCCACCCAGGTGTGGCACTTATTGTGGTGCAACTTGTGCAACTTGTGCAACCAGCTTCTCTAAACTTAGCACCAAAACGAACACTTGAGCCCCTGGGCACCGCGACCAAATGACAATATGGCGGAAGTGACGTACCGGTGGCACTGACAAACTGTGTGGAAGTGACACACCTGGTAAAAGTGACAGACTGGATGAAAAACGCACCACAACATGTGAGAAGCAGCAGATTTATTTCTCTCGATGTCTCATTTCCTTTCCATCCACGACAGATTCCCTTACGCACCCAGAAAATCGTTTCCTTGAAAATGGGGAATTTCCTTGAAATTAGCCTTGAATCAACGAAATTGACCTAAAGTAAACATAAAGAAAAATGTTCCTTTCTTCACGGAAAATTTTTCCTTAATTTGAAGAAAAGTCTTTAACTTACAGAATTTTTGTCGTTAAACCAAAGAAATTTCTTTGGAACAAGAGAAAATTTCCTTATTCCATCATAATACGCCGCGGCGCTTGTCGCTTTCCCAGTCGATTCTGGACAAATAAATGTTTTTGATACTGAAAAGTAGTATTCTCACTGTTCATTTTCCCTTTCCCCCTCTCCTCTACCAACGTTACCCTTCGGTGTGGAGATTGATGGTGCAGTTTTAACTTATGCCTGGCCAATAGAGTGAATCGTAGGAAAAGGATTTTTTTGGAAATTGAAAACGTAACAGTGCATAAGGTAAAAGCTGCCCTGGCGAATGACAATTCCAACGCATTCTTATTTTTTGAGATCTGATAATAATTTTCGATCCCGCAGGGCGTTTAAAGTTTTGCATGGTTCTCTTATGGAGAATGGCTCAAAAAGTGAAATTTCTGATTTTTGCCTTTCCAGCAAACATTTTTCGAAAACGAATCTCGGAAATGCAATCTACGCAAAAAAAAATGCGTCTAGTGATGTGCTACACTTGTCTCATGAGGCGAGGCCGGTAATTCTGTCCTCACCTCAGCTGAGGCACGGGCCTCAAAGAATTTGAAGACTGTGATTGGCTATTCAAGCTTGGCAAGCCAATCAGAGCCCTCCAAATCTGTGAGGCCTGTTCCTCAGCTGAGGTGAGGACAGAATTATGGGCCTCGCCTCACAAGACTAAATTCGGCATAAGAGATTTAAGATTTATAAAATCTGCACATCACGTCAGATAATTACTATGTAATGAGCACATTCAATATTTGCACACATTGATGTCCAATTTGTTTCTTCAGTCAACAGCAAATTTAGAAGAGACTCACCTTCCTACAAGTGGGGCACTTCCTCCCTAGATTGGAATTTTCCACACATTCTTTACATATGGTGTAGCCACACGGTAAGTTCTTGGGACGATGCGTTTCCAGATCAAAATCCGCAAAACAAATGTCACACTGAAGATCAATCTAAATTAGACAAGAAAAGAAAAGGGTAACACTAACAGTTGTTTGGTTGACAAAACATGATATTGGATTCAACAGAGAGAGTTCACAACACCAACAGAAAGTTATATTATAGACTCATATTGATAAAGTATGGCATTGTAATAACGTTTAAAAGAGTACAAAATCTTAAAGTTGTGAATCTACAGTACTGATATAATTTGATCAATCAATAATTATAGATTACCTTCACAACAATGCTAACGGACGACCCAGAGATTTGCTCTTCTGCAGGTAGATATGTTGCGTACAGCGACAACAAAGCGCTGACCGACAGTCCAGGAACAAGCGACAACAGCACTCCGGTTAGTCAGAGAGAGTGGTGCGAGTGCTACGCAGGGGAACGGGAACACAATTTGAAGTTAGGCAAGTATTCTGGGTGAGGTTATGTTGTGAGCGGATCCAAACAAACACACCGGCTGCTCTGCTCGTGTTGTCGTTCATGTCCTCTCCGGATGCAGTGTGGTGTGCGAGACAAGGCGGTGAGGCGGCGGCGCGCGCGGGGACGAACCGACCGCGTCGTCGACCCGCGGGCTGGAGGCTGGGGTTGGAGCTGAGCGACGTTTTGTGAGCTCGTCTCGTCGCCTCACTCCTCACAGTGAGCGGCTGGGCCGAGGCCGCATGAGAGATGAGAGGCATGCGGGGCTGGCGCTTCGCAGTGGCGGCTTTTAAAGCGATGTGGGCCTCTGCGCTGCAAAGAACACGCTCCACTATGTAGGGAGGCGACCCGCATCGCCACTCAAGGACGTTCCCTTCGCCGCCGCGAGCTGGAGCGAGCGCTGGAGCCCGGCGCGAGCGCGAGGTCCGGACTTGGCACCGGCAGCCGCCCCGCCGGAGCCCCTGCTGGGTAGGCGCGCCCGCCGCGCTCGCCGCCAGGGCCGGTGGCCTACCCCGCCGCTGTTAGGCGCTCGCTGCTCCTCCCCCGACTAGCTGCAGAGCGCACGTCTGTCGCTCTATCTCCCTCCCCCCTCCCACTCTCGCTCTATAGATGACTTTGCCGACGAATGGCTCAGCTGCTGCTTTCCCACGGGTGGCTGTGTTGCAGCGACAACAAGACCCGCCCCGCCCAGGTGGTCTTGTACTTGCGGGCGGCACAATAAGCGACCACCAGAACACAGAGCACGGCTGTTTGTCGGAGTAGAGTGCCGGGCAGGCGAACACAGTTTAGAGTTCCACAGAAGTGCTCTGGGTGAGGTCATGTCGTGAGGGAATAAGAACACTGCGTCACCGTCACTGTTTTAGTTCTTCTTCGGCGAGGCGGCGGCGCGCGGGGTTTGCACTGACGTGTGTGTGTGGGG